TGGCTTTAATTTTCCCTAGAAAGCAGGAGATGGGTTCACGTGCTGCACATGAGGGCGGGGTGCTAGGATGGAGGTTTGGGAAGAGTGAAAGACACTTATGAGGCCACTGTGGAGAATGGGCAGCCCAAAGACCGCCAAGCAGCAGAGCAGGCCACGTGGGAGACCAGGGATCTGTAGTGGCACCAGTTGTGCTTGTGAGGGTTTTCTCCAGCTGGCTTAGTCATCCAAGTATAGGGGCAGGGATGCTAAAAGAGGTAACCCCAGGCCTGCCTCAGTTCCTAAAGTGAGGAGAAGCATGCCCAGAGTCAGGGCAGGGACAGGACTCAGGCCATTCCAGAAGGGAGCGGCCATAGCCAGAACGGATTGTGCCTGGCCGGCAGCTGGCCAAGGATGTTAGTTCCCGGGACCCTCCTGTGTGTGGGGACAGCAGTAGTCTCTGGGGCACAGAGCACACTGGGCTTCCTGAAACGAAGTGGGCAAAGTCATGGGCAGGTTGCACACTGTAACGTGGAGGGGCCCAGAAGCACTGTGGTAGAGAATTCTGGAGGACGGCTGGGGAGACAGTGAGGTAGTGTCACTGCACAAACCTGCGAGACTAAGACGTTCGCCCAGGGGTGAGGCACGTCAGAGCAGTGTTGCTGGGGTGTGCGCGAGAAGCTGGGGTACTGGGCACCACAGTCCCTGGGCCTTCGATACAAAGATCTGGTCGCAGATGGGGTTTCTGAAAGCCTCACTTAGTCATTCTGGAGCCTCCAGCTTCCTGAGTTAAAGCGAGGTGGCTCACACCTCACCAGAGAAATCAGTGTCTGGGAGCAGGGCTACATCTCGGGACTGAGGGAATCCCGGGAGGGCTTTCGGTGGTTGCTGGTAAGGCAGCTACTGCCATCACCCCTGCCTCTGACCCGGCACTCCCCGAGGGAGAGGGAGGGCATGGCTGATACCAAAACTGGGAGGGGAGGGAGGGAGGTGAAGGAAGCTGACAGTTATTGAGCAACATGGTGTGCCAGGAACTTTGCATGCTTTATCTCATTTCATCTCCACGGTAATCCGTGAGGTGGGGATGTTAGCCCCATTTTACATTCATTCATTCAACAAATATTTATGGAGTGCCTGCTAGGCATCAGGTGCTGCTCCAGGTGCTGGAGATACAGCAGTGAGCAAAATAAATACACAAACATCCCTGCCTTCGTGGAGCTCATATTCTAGTGGAAGCAGGCAAAAAAAATCAAGACATGTAAGTAAAATGATAGTGGGGAGTACCAGAGAAAACTAAAGCAGGAGTGGGGACTAGAAAGTTAGGGAACGGTTGCCACATTATTTTTAAGTTTTTTTTTAATGTTTATTTTTTATTAAACAAATTTTTTTATGTTTACTTTTGAAAGTGAGGGAGACAGAGCACCAGCAGGGGAGGGGCAAAGAGGGAGGGAGACAGGATCCGAAGCTGGCTCCAGCCTCTGAGCACAAAGCCCGACGCGGAGCTCCAGCCCATAGACCGTGAGATCATGACCTGAGCTGAAGTCAGACGCTTAACTGACTGAGCCACCCAGGCACCCCTTTTAATGTTTATTTTTGAGGGAGAGAGAGAGACAGAGAGAGAGAGAGAGAGAAAGAGCAAATGCTTGGAGGAGAGGCAGTGGGGGGAGACAGAGGATCCGAAATGGGCTCTATGCTGTCAGCACAGAGCCCGATGTAGGGCTCGAACTCAGGAACCATGAGATCATGACCTGAGCCTCAAGTTAGACGCTTAACCCAGGTGCCCCACGGGTTGCCACTTTAGATAAGGTGCCTGGGGAAGCCCTCCCAGGGAAGATGACACTTTCGTAAGACTCTGAAGGATGTTGGGGGGGGGGGGTGTGCTGACATCTGAGGGAAGAGCCCTTTGGGGACAGGGAATAGCCAGTGCAAAAGCTCTGAGGTGGGATCCCAGAACAGGAAGGAGGCCTGTGTTGCTGGAGTGGAGAATAATAAGAGATGAAGTCTGAAAGTTAAGAGAAGTCCAAAGCCTGGGGATATTGTAGGTCATAATAAGGATGGAGGAATAGGCAGAGGAGTGTCATAGGTTTTACAGGATCATTCTGACTGCCTTGATGAGAGTCGACTGTTGCCAGGAAGGTCAGGAGTCCAATTAGGAGACCGTTATAATAATCTACCAGAGAGAAGATGGTGACTCGGACCGCGGTGGAAGCAGCGGAGGCGGTAAGAAGAGATATCCTGAAGGTAAAGATGACAGGGTTTGCCAGCGGCTCAGATGTGGGTGTGAGAGAAAGAAAAGAATCTAGGCTGACTTCCAGTGTTTAGCCTGAGCAACTAGAAGCATAAAGAAGGTGCCTTTTACCAAGATGGAGAGATGATTGCAAGAAAAGCAGGTTTTCGGGGGAGTATCGGGAACTCGAGTTTAAACATGTAAAATTTGAGAGGCCTCATAAACATGAAAGTGGAGGTATCGAGAAGGCAGGAGAATGTGCAAGTCTGGCATTCAGGGGAGAGGTCCAGGCTGTGAAAATGGAAGAGACTGCCAAATAAGTGAATGCAGATGCGGAAGAAAAGCAAGGACTGAGGCGTTGGGCAAACTGACATTTAGTGCTGTGGAAGATGCAGAAGAATCTGCAAAGGAGAAAGAAGAATGCCCAATGTCACAGGAGGAAAACCAGGAAAGTGTGGCCTTCTGGAAACCAAATTCTGAAAGTCTTTTAAGAGGAACGATGAACTGTATCATACGTTGCTCGTAGGTAGGGTGCGCCTATGAATTGTTGTCCAAACCAGGACACTTTTAGTAATTACTCCAGGATGAGACACGGAATCCACGATCGTCCCAGGAAGATCAGAATGTTGTGTGGTCACTCTACTAATAGGTCAATAAGAATTGACCATTGGATGTAGCAACATGAAAGTTGGTGACCTTGACGGGGCACCTGGGTGGCTCAGTCAGTTAACCGTCTGACTTCAGCTCAGGTCATGACCTCACGGTTCGTGGGTTCGAGCCCCGCGTCGGGCTCTGTGCCGACAGCTCAGAGCCTGGGGCCTGTTTCAGATTCTGTGTCTCCCTCGCTCTCTGCCCATCCCCCACTTGCACTCTGTCTCCCTCTGTCTCAAAAATGAATAAACATTAAAAAAAATTTTTTTTAAAAAGAAAGTTGGTGACCTTGAATGATGAGTTGAGAGGGAGTCATTAGAATGGATTCAGGACACATGGGAGGAGAGAGCTTAGAGATGGCAGGTGTAGGCAACCCTTTCAAGGTGTGTTTCTGTAAAGAGAAAGAAGCAAATGCATGAATCTAGGTGGTAGATATATAGGTGATCATTGTATTATTCTTTCAACTTTTCTGTATGTTTGATTTTTTTGTAATAGAGAGTTGGGAAAGTGAAAATGTTAAAGCTTTAAAAGAGAGGGGGCAGGGGCAAGTTCATCATGGGGGGAAAATAATATCTCTAGGCTAACGGGAATAAGCGAGAAATGAGATGATGCAGGAGTGAAGACTTCCCGGAGCAGTGTCTGTAGAAAATGGGAAGGGATCAGGTCTAGGGAACAAAAGCTGGCCCAGTGGTGAGTATGGAGACTTCAAATAGGAAAGAAAGTAGAGACTGGGGGCACAGATGCAGGCAAGTGGTGATAGGGAGCTTATGGAAACTCTGTTCTGTTTCTGCTCTTTTTGGTGCCGTGGTAAGTGACACCATCTGTGGACAGCAAGAATGAGGGAGGAGGTGTTGGGGACATGACAAGAGGAGAAGGTGTGAATAGTTATCTAGAACCAGAGAATGAGCTAGTAACATATAGTATGGTTGCCAGGCAGCACAGGGGCCTCACTCATTCGCAGTTAAGGTGAGACAAGGGGTGTCTGGGTGGCTCAGTCAGTTAAGCGTCTGACTCTTGATTTCAGCTCAGGTCAGGATCTTACGGTTCATGAGATCGAGCCCCACGTCCAGCTCCATGCTGTCAGCGCAGAGCCTGCTTGGGACTCTCTCTCTCCCTCTCTCTCTTCCCTTCCCCTGTTCATGCTCACTCTCTCGCTCTCTCTCTGTCTCAAAATAAATAAACATTTTTTTTAAATCTTAAAAAAAAAAAAAAAGATAAACCAGTGTGCATCTTTCTCCAGCCAGCTTCCTTCACCTGTGCAGGCACATGCCCAGAGTAGGTAGGGAGCAGAATTCAGCCACGGTTGTGTTTTAGCTGACTGAGAGAGGAGCGAAGAAGCTGAGGGCGAATTAAGGAAGTGATTATTATGATTGATGTGTAATTCAAGATGGGTAAGAATTACAGTATGAACAGAGGAGCTGAAGGACACTGAAAAGATGGCAGAACCTATGGCTTGAAGGTCTAGTGGGTTGAAGGATGGGAATTTAGCTACAAGAGTAGGTGAGCTGTGCTCACAGAGGTGGACGTGGCCAGAGAGACAGTATGAGATTGGGATTAGAGAGGGCTTTGGTTATCAGTAATGACCCGGTCTAGGGTATAATTTAGGAGTAAATAAGTGAGGTGGGGTAGAGAATAAGATCACCAGGAGAGGGGAGGTCAAGGCAGCCCCCCCCCCCCCTTGGAGTTTACCAGTTTCTAGTTTAGAAGGAAGCTCATCTTTCCTGTTCCTGGCTTTGTGAAGAAGGAATATGCTACAAGTATTGAGACTGACGATAACTGCTTTAGGGCTTCTCTTCTGCACTTTATTTTACACTGAGACTGGAGTTGAGGGAACAGGAGCCTGCTAAGGAAGGTGGTGCTAGACTTCACCAAATCTGGGAACCAGTCTATGGCCACAGTCAAGGCTGGCAGAGATCAGAAAGTCAGCAAAGATCATAAGGGGAAGAGAGCCTGTCAAGCATCAGAAGTGAGGGTCTCGGCTGTCAAGTATAAGAGATTAAGTCACTTAATCTCTGTTATAAGGTATCAGTAGGTAAGATTAGGGATTTGAACCTAGGTCAATGATATCAATGATATGAAACTTCTGTAGCATAATCACTCGTTCCCTAAATAGGGACTTGTATGAATGGCCACACGAGGGCTTTACTGTCTCTTACTTCCAATCTGTGAAATTGACCTTCCCGTGAAGAGACGGGAATATAATAACAAGACAAGAAGACCCTATGGAGCTTTAATTACTGGCTCAAAGAGACCTTATCAATCAACCAACAGGGACAACAGACCTCAACATGAGTCAACAATTTAGGTTGGGGTGACCTCGGAGAATAAAACCACCTCCGAGTGATTTTGATCTAGACTAACCAGTCAAAAGCATCGCATCACTTATTGATCCAAAAATTTGATCAACGGAACAAGTTACTCTAGGGATAACAGCGCAATCTGAAGATCTTCCAAGGAAGGGCAGGATGGGCTGGGGCCTGCTTGTGTGCAGGACCCTTTATTCTACCAGGCATTAGCAATGCATGTCTTGGGAAAGTATATGGAATGACTCTAGCAAGTCTCTGGTCCTCCTTCCGGGTGGTTGGCTAGATGGCCATGCAGAGCTAAGTAGCGGAGCACAGGATGGATGGATGTGAAAGAGGAAATTGAATGCTGGTTCAATTTGGTTTACGGCTCTGACAGATCCCTGCCTCATGTGCAGGGCCCACATGTTGTGGCTGGCCATTCATTTGTTCGTTGATTAACTACAATATGCTAGGTACTCTCCTGAGTATTAAGGATATGGCGGGAAGTGTAAGACATGGTGATAAGAGAGTCTGTCTCTCGGGACACCTCTCAGCTTATTGTGCAGATGTAGGGCCTCTTGGGTTTGCAGGGGCCAGGCCATCTGTGTGGAGGCAAAAGGTGGCGGAAATAGTGCAAGTAGCCGCGTCTGTGTTTCACGTGGGCTGGAATTCTTATTGTGAGACTGTTCTCTCTGTGGATCTGAACAGTAACACTGTGACTGGTGGGATTCCCATCTGTCACTAGCTTGACCCATTCCATTTGGCAATTGGTGTAGCGTTAGGAGAGAGAACATCCCGCCCGTGCAGCCTCACCCAAAGCCTCCAAAGTCCAGAGCAAAGCTGGGGCCCTTGGACGAAAGAAGACGGCTAGAGTACTTCCCTGTAGGAACAGCATGCCCAGCTATAGGGCCCAGGGCGACCTGCAGAGGAAATTCCAAGAGCAGTCTGCATTGATGCCTTGTCCACCCTCGGCCAGTGAAGAGGTGTGTGACATAATCCAGCACGTTGGGTCAGAGGCTCAGGCTTCTGTGGCCAGCACAGATGGCACAGCCTTCAGCTTCCCTGCCGATAGAAGCAGCGAGGCCACCCTGAGACCCCAGAAGCAGCGAGCAGCCAGGTAGGTTGCCCCTTAGTCTGTGACTTGGGTGCTCTTCACTGAACAAAAGAGAAGAGGCATAGGTTTAGGGGAAGATCATGGATTCCTTTTTAAAAATATGTTGAACTCAGGTGCCAGTGAGATATCTTGGCCAAGACACTCCAGATGCAGCTGGATAATAAGTCTTGAGCACAGGATATAGGTCTGGATTTGAGACGGAAATTTGGCAACCACCAGTTGGGCATAAGCATCTGGGTATTTAAGACAGTCATGTTTTCTAGTCTTTTTTTTCCAGTCCTTCCTGGGCCCGTAAGCTGTGGGGGGATGCAGAGTAGATGGTGGTCAGCAACAACTGCCCTGTGCCCCTGGACTGCCTGCCCCAGCCCTCTCCTCTGACGGCAAGAGGTCTCATACGACAAGACAGCTCCTGCTCATTCACTATCACTGTGTCTAAGCAGAGGGGAAAAAAAATGGCTGAAGCCTTCTTCTAAGAATTTCATTTATGTCTGGGCCTGAGAAAATAGTGTACTTGTGTGAGTTTCCTGTAGCTGCTATAACAAATTATTCTCTCACAGTTCTGGAAGCCAGAAGTCCAAAACAAGCGTCACTGGGCACAAATCAAAGTGTCAGCAGGACCCACACTCCCTTGGGATGCTCTGGGAGATTATCTGTTCCTTGCCTCTTCCAGCTTCTCATGGCTGCTGATGTTCCCTGGCTTGTGGCCACATCACTTCAGTCTCTGCCCCTGTGGTCATATTGCCTTTTCTTCTGCATGTGGGAAAACTTCTCTCCACCTCTCTCTTATAAGGACACTTGTGAATGCATAAGGGCTCACCTGGATAATCTAGGATAATGTCCTCACCTCAAAATCCTACCTTCACGAAGCTTATGTCCTACCAGGGAAGCACAGACACTAAACAATGAATCAGGAAATTATTTAGTAAATCAGAACAAAATAAATACTGTAGAGAAAAAAGAAAGTATGGTAGGCGGGTAGGAGCAGATTGCAGTGTTAAATAGGATGGTCAGAGTTCACCTTGTGGGAGAGGTGACATTTGAATAAAGACTGGAGGGAGAAGAGGGAATAGGCCAAATGGATATCTGGAGGAAGAACGTTCCAGGCAGAGTAAAGGCCCTAAGGCAGCAAGGAGTATGGTCTTAGGCATCAGTGGTACTCTCATCATTTCTCTGAGTTCCGTTATGTTCCAATCCTTCCAACGAACCCGATACAGCAATGCCCATGCTTGTTGTATTCATCCAACTATGTCTCTGCTTCTCCTTCTGGGCCGCTGAGCTGCTGATGGAGAACACAACGCATGCATGGGCCCCACTGGGGCTCCATGGCCTCAGCCTCTTCTGAGTGTCAGCACTGCTCAGCGCTCCTTGTCCCTGGTGGACTTATCACGGTCACTGTTCCAGTCTTCACCATTCACAGGTTACTGCAGTCTACACCTTCATACCCACAATCCCCCAAATCCCCAGCCCCAGGCATTTCCCAGAGCAAAGAGTCTGTCTGGGAAGCATTCTCTCAGGTTCCCCTGTCTGTAGCCACACCTATCAGAGTGGCCATCTTCACATCCTGCCCCCCTGTTTCCAGGAAGAAGGTATCCTGCCTTCTGTGTCCCTCCCCTTCTACTCTGGATCCTGTCCCCCACCCTCCTTGGGCCTCGTTCCCTTGTCCCCCTGCCCCGTCTCTTGCACCCCCTCTCTCTTCTGCTCGTCTCCTTCTGGCCAGATACAAACACGCTCATTGCCTACCCACCCCCCTACTCAGCAGCTATCATCCTATTTCTGTCTTCTCCTTCACTACCAAGTTTCTTTAGAAATGGCCTGAGCTCTCCTGAACACTTACTTCTCTCCCTCCTCAGTCCCCTGCAGTCTGGCTCGGTCCTCTCTCCAGCCCCAATAACGTGCTTCCCAGAGGGGTGGGTGGCTTGAGTGTATTCTATTCCCACAGGCAGTGTGATCAGTAAAAATACAGGTGCAAGTAGTCCCACTCCATGAGGGTGTTGTGAGGATGAAAAAAGATAATGCGCGTAGAGCACTTAGAGCGGCGTCCAGAATGTAGTAAGGTCTCGATAACTGTAAACTGCTGTCATTACTGTTGTGATTATTGTGGCCCTTGTCAGATATTTCACAGCTGTGTCTGTCTGTGCTTTGCTGCTTTACCCATCATCCTCGAAGGCAGGGACTCTGAGCTGTTGTAGCACACGTTGACAAGATGGATGGTGGGCACCAAAGACACATGGCCCCCATGGGCAGTCTGGCCATCACCCACGCTCTCACAGGGAGAGGAGTGCTTGCCTCTCAGCAGCTTCTCAGCTCACAGTTCTCCCCTTTGCCTCCCGTGCTTCCCTCCCCTCGCTAGGAAGTCTCAGCCCCTTCCCCCCCTCCTTCATCCACACTGAGCACAGGCTGTCAACATCGTCAGTGGGAGCCCTGTCAAGCAGGAGCCTGGGCACTGCTCCCTGAAGGGCGCCTGGCTCAGCCTTTCCTCTCCTCCTTCAGCATAGGCCTCCCTGACTGTCATACATGTCATACATGTGGCTCCAGTCTGTCTGCGGCCACAGTCCTAGAGCAGGCCGAGGGGCAGTAGCTGGCCGTGTTTCAGATTCAGGAAGGGTTTGCTCTGAAACAATAGAAACGTCGCTAGAAGCCTGGCCATTTGGAGCAGGGAGATCCAAGTTTCCATGAGAAGCCCCAAGAAGGCAGCCCCCAGACCTCAATAGCGGAGCAAAAATTAGGCCTGGAGGGGCCCACCAGGGTCCACACTGTGGAGTCCCCCACCTGAGCTGCTCCCCCTGCTTCTGGCCAGCAGGCGTTTGCAGAACACCTGTGTGTGCTTGGCCGTGTGCCAGGGCTACCACACGGTCTTGTGGGGAAGCAGGCAATTGCACTAGTGTGTGGTAAGTGCCATGAGGACAGAGTGCACAAGGAACCATGGAGACCAGAGGAAGGCCCCGTCAGCCCTGTGTGACTCAAGGAAGACCTCTTACCTTTATTGTATTGTATTGTATTGTATTGTATTGTATTGTATTGTATTTTTTCTATTTTATTTTATTTATTCTATTTTACTTATTCTATTTTATTTTATTTTATTTATTCTATTTTATTATTTTATTTTTTCTATTTATTTTATTTTATTTATTCTATTTATTCTATTTTATTATTTTATTTTATTTTATTTTATTTTATTTTATTTTATTTTAAGTTTATTTATTTTGAGAGAGGGGCACCTGGGTGGCTCAGTTGGTTAAGTGTCTGACTCTTGGTTTCAGCTCAGGTCATGATCTCATGACTTTGTGGGTTTGAGCACTGTGTCGGGCTCTGTGCTGGCAGTGCAGAGCCTGCTTGGGATTTTCTCTCTCTCTCTCTCTCTCTCTCTCTCTCTGCTCCTCCCCCACTTGCTCTCTCTCTCTCAAAATAAATAAATAAACTTTAAAAATATTTATTTTGAGAGAGAGAGCACAAGTGGGGAAGAGGCAAAGAGAGAGAGAGAGGATCTTAAGCAGGCTCTGCACTGAAAGCATGGAGCCCGACACGGGGCTCGATCTCACAAACCGTAGGATCATGACCTGACCCGAAATCAAGAGTTGGATGCTTAACCGACTGAGCCACCAGGCGCCCCAGGATTCTTACCTTCAGAAGGTAGAGGTGCTGGGATCCGGTTGAAGAATGAGCAGAAATTCAGCCTGTGAGTGAAAAGGAGAGGAAAATTCCAGGCGAAGGGAATAGCATGTATGAAAGCATGGAGGCATTAAAGAGTCTGGCAGGTTACAGAAACTCTACATAGTTGGGTATGGGTAGCACTTAGGGAAAGGGAGGAGGGGGTATCTGAGACAGGAGAGGTAGACAG